GCTTTACTTTCTTGTTCTAAAACCTCGGGGTACTTTCCTTAGTAATTTTTTTGTATATTGTATCAAGATTTTTTTTTTTATTATAACTTTCAGGTAGTCTGAGTATTCTTATATTGTCTCTCCGCGATCTGTTCTCTAGATCAGCTGTTTTTCTGATGAGATGTTTCACATTCTCTTCTATTTTTTCAATTTTGATTTTGTTTTATTATTCCTCAGTGTCTTATAATTCCTCTTCCTCAGTTCTAGTTTTCGAGGAATTATTTTCTTCCTCAAATTTTTGATTGTCCTTTTCCAGTTGACTGACTTTCCTTTCACAATTTTCTTGATTTTCATGGATTGCTCTTATTTTTTTCCCCTAATTTTTCCTCAATCTCTCTTAATTGATTTAAAAAGTCCTTTTTAAGTACTTCTAAGAACTCTTTTTGGGCTTGTGACCATTTGACATTTCTCACTGGAAAAGGAATGGCTATTTTTACCTCCACTATCTTCCTGTGAATACAAACCCAGATCTTCTCTATCCCCATTGGATCTATCTATGGTTGGGTTCTTGCCCTTTTGCTTACTCATTTTTATTTCCATTTCTATTTTATTTTTTGCAGCTTATTATCATAATTAAATTCTACTCTGGAGGTATAGGGAATGATACTCCAAGCCTCAGATCCTTCTTACTGTTATTTTCTGAGCCTGGTCTAGGAGCCCAACTTTGGGCACTCCTCTCCACCCCTAAATCATGTCCAGGGCCCCCAGCCACACTGTCCCACAAATGCTCTTGCTCCCTATGGTCCCTCCAGTAGCTGCAAACTTCAACTGTTCTCTCTGTCCTGGAACCAAAACCAGGGACTCTGCTCTCAAGCAAATGTCCACAAACGGCAGGGTCCCTGCCTCTCTGTGCTACACTCACCAAGCATGTACTAGCTCCTTTTCCTCCTGAGCCACAGCTTGGGACCACATCCCTTGACGATGGAAGCTCCTTCAATCTTCTCCTACTCAGCCATATGACCCCACCACACACACACAGACACGATCCATGAGGTCAAAGTTCTTGAGGCTGCCTCCCAACCTAGCTGCCCTCAGAGCTTGTTGTTTGTTGATTCCACAGAGTAGGCCTGGAGGTGTCTGCGCTTCACTCAGGCCAAACTTCCACCCCTGGACATTGAGTCTTTTCTGAGGTCCTTTCAGGTTGTTCTGGGAGGCCAACTGCTTTACCCTGACTTTTATTTCTGCTGCTCTTTAATCACTTTGAGGCAATGTTCCATCCTTTTCTGTGGAAGAAATTTGGAGAGCCTAAAGTCTTCTGACCTACTCTGCCATCTTCCCAGAATCCTTTCTCAACCTGTTTCTTTTTAAAACTCTAAAAAACATGGAAATAAATGGACCTTTCCTCAATACGGTAAATAACATCTATATAAATCCAGGAGAAAATATTATATTTAATGGAAAAAAGTGAGAAGCCTTCTGAATAAGGTCAGGGAGAAAAGCAAGGATAGCTATTATCACCACTACAATTTAACAAAGTGCTAAGATGATACCTACAGCAATAAGAGAAATCAAGGGAGTAACATGGGCTAAGAAAAAAAAAAAAGGAAACAAAATTAATTTTTTGAAGATGATTTAGCTTACTTAGAAAATTCTAAAGCAACAAAAAACTAATTGAAATAATTCAACCAAGTTTCAAAATATTTTTAAAAATTGACAAAAATCATCATTTCTGTATATTACAAACAAAACCCAGCACAAAGAACTAGAAAGCAAAATTCCATTAAAAAAAAACCATAGAAGCTATAAAATATTTGGAAGTATATCTACTAACATGCACCTAGTAACTATATAAATCCAACTATAAAACAGTTTGTAGAAATAAACACAGAACTAACTAATTGGAGAACATTACTCATGGGTAGGGCAAACCAATATAATAAAAAGTCTAAATCAATTTACTTATTCAGTACTTTTGAACATAATATAATAATAATATAATAACTACCAAAAAATTCATAAAGAGTGAACAAAAGTCAAGAATCTCAAAGAAAGGGAGTCTACCGATACCAAATCTGTCTCAAATTGTACTACAAAGTAGTAATCATCAAAATTATTTGGTACTGGTTAAAAAAGAGAAGTCAATTAGTAGAAAATATTGGGGTACACAACATACAAAAGAAGCAAACAAACACAATTGCTTAGTATTCTATAAATCTAAAGATCCTTGTTAAAGGGGAAACGACTCACTACATGACAAAAACTGCTGAGGTAACTATATGGCAGTTTTAATACCTCATAACATATATCAAAATAAGCTCCAAATCTATACATGACCTAGATATAATAAAAAGAACAGCAATGAAGAGATTTCCTTTCAGATGTATAATAGAAAAGCTCACAATTAACCTATTGAGAGGATCACAAAATGATTACTTTGATTATGTATAATTTAAAAGTTTTTGTAAAAACAAATGTAATATAATAATACAATAATGCAATGTAATAATACAAGACAAGTGGATAAATGGGAAAATAATCTTTGCTACAAGTTTCAATGATAAAAGTCTCATATCCAAGAAAAATAAGGAACTAATTTATAAGATTAAAAGCCATTCCCTAATGGAGAAATGGTCAACAGATATGAACAGGCAGTTTTCAAAGGAAGTTTAAATTGCCAATAAGGGAAAAATGCTTCATCACTAATAATTAGAAAAATGCAATGAAAGCAGCTTTAGATCCCATCTCAAACCCATCAAACTGGCAAAGATGACAAAAGAAAATGACAAATGTTGAAGGGGCTGTGGAAAATTGACATATTCATAGACTATAAAGCAATTTTGAACCATGCCACCAAAGTTACTGAGCTACATAAACTTTGACCCAGCTATATCATCACTACTATATACAAAAGAACATACAGAAAGGGGAAAAGAATCTATATGTTAAAAAATTTTTTAAAAAAATTATAGCAGCTTTTTTCTGAGTTGCCAAATATTGGAAATTAAGGTGCTGTCTTCTTGGGGAATGGTTAAACAAATTCTGGTATAAGAATATAATGGGATATTATTGTGCCATAAGAAATAACTAAATGGACATTTTAAGAGGAAACTGAGGATACACCTTTATGAACTGAAGTAAAATAAAGTGAACAGAACTAAGAGAATAATTTATTCAATGAGAAAAGCAACTTTGAAAGACTACAGATCTCTGTTTTAATGAAGCAATAAACCACAAGCAAGAAGACTGAAAATGAAATATGTTATTCAAATGATGAGTGTTGAGAGAGACAAACAGAGATATGACCAATGTCAGGGTGTAGTTTTGTGGGGCAATGCCTATTTGTGATGATGCTTTTATTTTTCATTCTTTTTAAAAGTGTTTTTCATTTGAGAAAAGTACAGTGGGAGGGGGGGAACTCGGTGGCCCAGTGGATAGAGTGCCAGCCTGGAGTAAGGAAGACTCACCCTTCCTGAGTTCAAATCTGGCTTTAGACACTTACTAGTTTTGTGACCCTAGGCAAGTCACTTAACCCTGTTTGCCTCAGTTTCCTCATCCGCAAAATGAACTAGAGAAGAAAATGGCAAACCACTCTAGTATCTTTGCCAAGAAAACTCCAAATAGAGTCCAAAAGAGTTGGACATGACTGAAAAATGACTGAACAACAACAATATACTGTGAGGGACAGATTATGAATAAATGTAAAAATAAACACATTTATTTTTTAAAACACCACAAAAACCAAGAATGAAAACAATTCCTACTCAGGAGTTTACATTCTAATGGAGAAAACAATTACATATATAAATGTATACAGAATAAATATGAAAAGAACAAGTACAAACAAAGGAATTAAATATAAAGCGGTTTGGGAAGGAAGGCACTAACTAGCAGTTGGGGGAAATCAGAAAAGACTTCATGTAGAGGTGATTTCATGTGCATTTGTGATGACATGTTTTAAGGGATCATCAGAACCTTTGCAATTAAAGCATTTTCAACAACTGGGGTATTGGTATTTTTAATGTGTTCCAATATAGTAATACCAAACACAAAGGAACATAATGTGCTCCCCACTGTCTTAAAAGTCAAACTGATCATCCAAAATGTTTCAAATAGGGAAAGCCTGAATCCCTACATTTATTTCTTAGCATTGTATGCACAATTTCATCACACTGGCCAGACTAGTGAATCAAACACTAGAATTTCCAGAGCCTAAATTACCAATATTTCAGGTTTCCCATAAGGCCAGTTAGTCAACAAGCCTTTATTAAGTGCTTATTAAGCACCAGACACTGTGTTATGCCCTGGGAATACAAATACAAGCAAAAAGAAAGACAATCCCTGCCTCTAAGGAGTTTACATTCTAATAGAGGAAGACAACATACAAAAGGAAGCTGAAAATTAAGGGTGGAGAAGTGTGAGAGTGGGATAAGGTAGAAAAAGTCTGGAGTGCAGCCTGGAGAGAAATGAAGGTATGATGGGCTTGGGCATATTCTTTAAATGTAAATTCTAAGAGGAGTCATCAAATTACAGGGAATGGTCAAAAAGGCAGAAAGTACACAGAATTCTCGCTGCATAAAACCCTGGTTGGCACTGCCTTACTTGGTAGTTTCATCTCCCTCTCCTCCATGATATAAATGATGAGCAGTTGGGCTTTGAGGCTGACCTTGTACTTACTGAGGGATTATTAATGACAGAAATGACAAGGAGGTAGATTTCAATATTTTATATGGGGAAACTTTAAATCTTAATTAGAGCTGACCAATGATGGGTCATGTTGCTTTGACAGATACTGAGGTCGCTATTACAAGAAGACGTTAAGTACGGGTTCGATGACTATTTGTTAGTCATGTTGTAAACTTAATGCATGTTTTCAGTATGACAGATGGACTAAAGGACTTTTGAGATCCTTTTTGATGAGAATTTTGGATCATCCAATTGCACAATGGATTATTTAAATATATAACTTAAACACCTTAGAAGGGTTAAAAATCCTTCAGAAGATATGTAACTGTATTTCTTACCTCTGAAGCAGTAGCTGCAATGTTAATGTTGCTCGACTGCCCGTTCATTAGGTCCATATTTCCCACATCAGTTCTTGGCCTTCTGTTTACTGTAGTAGGGCTCTGATTATTTCAAGTCCAAGGCAACAAATACATTATTCCTATAAATAAATGTTGAAAAAGGGTAAAGTTAGAATATTTGCTTCACTAGGATCTAGATTTAGAAGACAAGTTTAAGCAAAATGAAGCCAAACATATCAATAAGACTCTTCCCTTGGAAAAAGGAAAAAAAAGACCATCATTGAAGCATGTTTTTTAAAAAATGCACATAGGAAAACAGAAGAAATGTCAGAAGAAAACACAGATAAGCAGGATGGTTTTGCAAGTTTACACATTTATTTTATACTTAAAAAGGTGCTCAATTTCATGTACAATTCTTTTTCTGTTTAATTTTATATATAGAAATGTTTGCTTTATCCAGTGTTAAATACAGAATAAAAAATCCACAAAATTTAAAGCAAAAAAATAAGATAAAATGATGCCAATTGTAGAGTAAACACAGTTTTTTACATTCCATATTTAATATGCTAGGCATGGTAGCACATTCTTGAAGACTCCTGGATTAAGGCTGGTAAATCACTTAACTTTAGAAGTTCTGAGCTACAAGGTTCTAAACTGATCATGTGTCTGCACTAAATTCAACACCAGTATGGAGGAAGAGAGTTCCATGCTGCCTAGGCCATGTCAGAAATGGAGGAAGTCAAGGCTCCCATAATCAATCAGTAATGAGATTGGGCCTGTGAGTGGCCTGAGCAAATTAGTGAGGTTCAGTCTTGCTCCTTCTTCCCTCCAAAAAAATTGTTGACTTTAAAACAAGGACATAGCAAGTAACAAATACTACTGACATTTATACAACACTTAAAAGTTTGCAAAGCACTGTATATAGATTTTATCCTCACTATAGGTATCATCCTTATATAGAAAATGAGGAAATTGCGGCTGAGAGGAGTTAAATGACTTATCCAAAGCACCAAATTGGGATTAAAATTCAAGTCTTCCTGACTCCAAACAGAAACCCCAAACAATTCCATGCACTAAACTACTTGGTTATATTTTAACAGTAAACCATTGATATAGGAGTCATTCTTATGTACAGGCAGGCCTCTAACTTGTTAAATTTTTAAAAAAAAATACAAAACTAGAAGGAATAAAAATGAGAAAACTATCAGGCACAATTTAAGTAATTCCATCCTGAACTATTTAAACAAGCTGATGATGCTGAAAAATTAGAAATGGATAAAGAACTGATAACATAAATAGACTGCTATTAGAAAAAAAGCAATACAGCCTAGAAATCACATTAACAAGGCAATATTTGATCTTACAAAGTAGAAATATGGTATCCAAGGGCAAAATGGAGTTATAGTATAAGGCCACTTATAGGAATATACAGAGAATAGTGGAAAATTAGGAGCAGTACCACCTCATAAAACAGCAAGAAACAGTGGAGAGACAAACAAGTTTAAAGAAATCTTGACAAGAGACCCAACTAAGTAATGTTAAAGTATAACTTAAGGACAAAACTAGAGAGTAAAAGACATGAAAAGTGGAAGATATTTGTAAACTTTTTTCTACCACATACAACAGAACTCTCATACATGGACCATAAGATTATCTTCCTGGTATGCTGCATGAATAATAAAAAATGACAACAAAGAAAAGAAAGATAGGAAGAGCAGCTTGACTGGACCAAACATACACAGAAGAGATTATACTGGTGGCAACACAATTCCGAGGGCATGAAGGACCAATTCTCAAAGTATCTGGAGGGGGAATACAGCAAAGGCATGGTAAAATTCTACGATCTTATGATCTTAATTGTAGTGCCTCCACTCTGTTGACTATTTCCTATTTATCCTGTATTTAGCTTGTCTCGACATGATTATTTGAAAGTTATCTCCCCCATTAGATTGTGAACTCCTCAAAGAGTTCACAGTGCTTGGTACATAGGCACTTAGTAAGTACTTACTGACTGACTGGCTTCATACAGCACATAGAAGGAGGCAGCATAGTTCAGTGGAAAGAAAATTGGACTTGGAGTCAGAGAAACTGGATTCAAATCTTGACTTTGCTATTAATACTGGAAAAGTCACTTACGTAGCCTCAGTTTTCTCACCTATAAAATGAGGAGTTTGGAATGGATAGCCTTCGAGGTCCCTTCCAGCTTTAAATATATAATTCTATGAATATAAGTGCCTCCCCAAAAAAAGACTAAGAATACTAACACAGGAGGCAGTTGGGTGGCACAGTGCATAGAGCACCCACCCTGGAGTCAGGAGTACCCGAGTTCAAATCTGATCTCAGACATTTGCCACTTACTATCTGTGTGACCCTGGGCAAATCAATTAACCCCATTACCTAACGTCCCGCCCCCAAAAGAATATTATTAACAAATAAGAATTTTTTATGAGAACAATTCATACACACAGTGAAGACAGTTTGATAAAAGTATGAGAAGGGGATAGGCAGGCTTTCTCAAATGCTGTTCCATACCGGACAAGATTTTTATTGGAGAAGGAAATGATAAACCACTTTATCAAGTATCTTTGTCAAGAAAACCCCAAAGGGGGTCACAGAGAATTGGACATGACTGAAATGACTTGAAAAACAACAACATTTTTATAGTCACACAACTGAAAGAAAAGTGGAGTCTTTCAATCAACAAGCATTTATTAAGTACTTTTTGTATGGCAGGTACTATGATAGATTCTAAAAATAAAAAAAGACAATATATCACTTTACCTCTCAAGAAGCTTACATTTGATCAGGGGAGATACGTGACTATAACAGTATAAAGAGTAAATACACACCGAATAAATATGAAACAAACACAGGTTGATGTATGAGAGGTGACATCTTTATAATGAGAACTTTATAAGAGGTAGGGACAATAGAGGAATAGCACTTTCAGACTGACATTATAATATTAAGCAGGACTAATCAATACCATCTAGTACTGGATAAACGGAAGAGAGGGAGGGAAGGAGGGAAAAAGTAAAGGAGGGGAGGCAAAGGAAGGAAGGACGAAAAGAAAGAAAAAGAAAGAAAGAAAGAAAAAGAAAGGCAATGACAACAAAAGAAGGGTATACTCAGTACTGGAAGATATGTGAAAAGATAGGCACATTAACTGTGAATCAGTACAACCATTTTGGAAAGCAGTTTGTAATTATGCAAATAAAGCAACTAAAATGTCCATATCCTTTAATCCACAGATTCCACAACTAGGCTAATTCCCCCAGGAGGCAACTGATTAAAAGAAAATGCCATATCAAAATGTTCATAAGCAGCACTTTTTTGTGATAACAAAGGACTGGAAACAAAAGTATATGTCTACTAACCAAGGAATGATTAAACAAATTGTGGTACATGAATGTAATAGAATATTATTGTGCTATAAGAAATAATGAATATGATGAATCTAGACAAACTGATGGAGAGAAGCAGACAGAATAAAATAATGTGCACAATGTCTATCACATTATAAGTGGGAAAAACATAAAAAATACATCAAAATTCAGTGCTGCAGAATTACAAATAGATACAGGTTAAAAGAAGAGATATGAGAAGACACCCTTTTCCCAACCCTTTGCAGAGGTAGAAAATCAATAAGTGTGACATTGCATACAGTTATATTGATTTTTCTCCCTTTTTCTTTAAAAAAAAAAAAACAAAAACCAAACCAACCATTGTTATATGGGATTTAAGAGGAGAAAGGGAAGGATACTGAGGGAAATTATAGTAATGTAAAACAGTAGTGTCAAACTCAAATAAAAACAGAGGGTTTTGATCACTATAAAAGGATCCCTGAAGGCTGCTATATTGACTTAATTTTAAAATGTAATATTATCTATGTTTTATTATATTTGTTTTGTTTAGTATTTCCCAATTACATTTTAATTTGGTTCAGGCAGCATTTAGGAGTGTTTGACACCTTTAATGTAAAGAATTACACCAATAAAAATTTATTCAAAAATCAGTTTCAAAGCACTTTGAAGTACATTATTTCATATGATCCTAGAAACTTTGTGGATGAGCAGGGTAGATGAGAAACAAACTCATCTGAAGTTATAGCGCTAGTAAAAACAGATTATTGTTATAAAAACAAGCAGTAAATACTGAGTAAAGCAACAAATTGCACAAGCAGCAAATTGTTACAGTGGAAAAAGAGCTAGAGTAGGATTTCTACTAAAGGTACTAACAATGATTCTACCTCTTAATCAAGCTCAAAACCTCAGTCATTTCTGCTTTCCTCCTCCTCTTCATTCTGCATATCCATCAAGTTATGAAGTCTTGCACATGCCACAGTCGCAAACTCACTGGATTGCTCCTTCCTTCCTTTTCATTGCCATTTACACTATGTTGAAGTTCAGGTGATTATAACTCACTTGAGTTTTTTTTTTTACAATAGCTAAAGAAAAAAGAATTATGACTTCGAAAAAAGGATAAGAAAGAATCCAAAGATGGAGTTGAGCTTCTTACAAAAAGGGAAGTAAGGTTGAGGGGGAAAAGTCACTGAGAAGTAACAGTGATGTAAAAAAAAGAACATCATCAAAAAACATTTTTTTCAAGAAAGGAAGGATAGAGAAGAGTAGACAGGGTAAAGAAAATAGGAAACAAAGTACAGAAAAGGAAGACATAAGGCTACTCAATAAGTTCAGGTGAGTATATTAGTCTAAAACACACCTCCTGGTATCCCATTCTGCTGATCACTTGGGTTACCTGTCTTCAGCAAATAAGAAAAATCTTTTCTGCAATGGAAAGCACTTTTTAAAAAAAAAATTTCCAAACCTCAGAGTTAATTTTTTAAATAAAAGCTTATTTCCATGAGCAAGGGAAGACTGAAACAGGAGTTTCTAGAAGGTACACTGAAAATCTGGGCTACCTTAATAGGGTTGCAAAAAAACAGCACAGTGCCTGGCACATAGTAAGTAATAAATGATCTATCTATCTATTCCTCAGTCACTTGTAATCTTGGCTTTGACCCCATATTTTAAAAAACTGATCTTTAAAGTTGTAACCACTTAATTACTAACCCCAATGAACTTGACTTAGTCATCATCATCCTTGACCTTTTTGTAGCATGGCACAAATATAAAATAAC